TCAAATTATCCAATTATGTTTCCCCTTTTAGGTAGATATCTATGTCACAAGAATAACTTGTATGCAGTTCTTATGCGAAAACATAGGTAATTATAGGTTATAGCACATTACCAATAACTGTTAACCGTAGTCGAAATGCAGAATGGTTTCAGAATCATATCGATGTGTGCTAAAGCTTTCAATGTTCACATCAATTCCCAATCAACACACATGTTAACATAATTGTTCAAGGAGAATAGAATTTTAATAATAATAATAATTATTAACGGTAAATAATATACATTTGTAGTACTATTACTCACAGTGATCGGCTCCAGGTAGTAATGGGACGATGCCCTTGTCTCGATCTACAAGCACAATGCACAACATATAATATGAGATAATAATCGATCCTTTACTTATTTTCTTTGACCACTTAATCAATTAGCCATGGTTGTACCAAGATCATTATACTTCAATAAGTTATAATCCATGCCACATAGATAGGAGGAATCGATAGAAAAATGGTCCAGACGAAGAAACGGTACAAATCGGTAAACAGATAGTGAACAGTCGTCACTAAATTAGGCATAACTATTTTTGTACTTAAAATTTGGGGGTAGGACCACCACCATTGGAAACTAGACTTCCGGGGCTTGATTTTAGGCTCAAGAATCACTCAAAACGGAGTCCGGATGCAAAAGATATGCTTATTCAAAGTTAATCAGTATGAGCTGAAACAATGGTGGCCGCTCGTGCGCCCACTTTGGCCGCTCGTGCGGCCCAATTCCGCTCGAGCGGAACCAAAAGTAGAATGGAAACCTATTTTGTTCCCTCTTCTCTGCCCATGCTGCCATGGCCTCCGCACGTGCGGCCTGGCCCCTGTTTGACAGTCCGAAATTCATACCAAATCCCATTCTTGATGAGCATTAACAAGGCTCAAAATAAACCCTTTGATTGCTAAAACATGGTTCAAAAATCATGTAATTAGGAGGTATAAACACATAACAATCTAGATGTGAACTAGATCTTTACTTCACAAACCCATAAACAAAACTTGCTTCTTACACGATCTAAATACATATATATATTCATCTCACTCCTAATTGTAATCAAGCATGGAGAATCAACAATAAGGTGTGATTTCCTTTACATAGTTCAAATTAACACCATTAACTAAATGATGAGAACAACTCTTCACTTTTACAAATAATACACATGCATACACACACTAACTTGCATGATTACCCAAGAAATTCTTACCACATCAAAGAGGAGTTAAGTAAAATAAATTCTACATACCTTGAGCTTCAAGAATCTCCAAAACCCTCCTAATTTCATCCCAATTCTCCTTTCTTGTTGAACTTCCCCTTTTCCTTCTTCTCTTATTCTTTTATTCTCTCTCAGGTGATATTTACGAAATGAACTTCCCCAAAACAAGTGTTTAAAGAGCAAGGATATATAGATATACATAAAAGTGAATAGGACAAAAATCATTCGTTTAATCATCCCAAATTAAAATTTCACAGAAACGCTTATTAGGCCTCGTTTGGCAAGAGGCTATTTTAGCCAATTAGCCAAAAAGTTACTAAATTAGTCAAAAAGCCAACAATTCATACCAAAAAGTCAAAGATTCTCTTTTCTCTCTACTTTTTGCACATCTTTTCGTAATTAGCCAAAAAGTCATCCCAAACATACAAGTTTTTTTTACCTACCTTTTTAGCCAAATAGCCAAAAAGTTACTAAATTAGCCTGTTCCCAAACGAGGCCTTATTACCTAAAAATTATGCTGAACACATATATAAAATCAATTTCAGATAATTAAGCCCCTAAGGCTTCCAATTTCTGATTCGAACATTCTAGTTGTGACAGATACTTTTCTTATTCAACAGATATGAACCTATATTCATAGGATCCACTTAATCAAACTTAATTTCATACAGAATTTCTCAATAGGCATATAAATGTACAGAATAAGGGACTAAAAGCATACTAGAAAGCATGTACAAGGGTCGGGTTATTACAATAAATCTAATGTTCCCTCGCCTTTGGTGATTGATAAAACAAATAGGCCTAGTGAATCGAATGGTCTTTCAACCTTCATTTGATTCCGACAGCAAGCATAGATCTCATGAGACCCATGCACTATTACTACGAAAAAAGCCCTGTCATTTTCCTTCGATGCTCACCAGGCGGCAGCATCTATACCCTTATAAAATGCATTCGACTATCTTGTATTTGTGTTTGATCTGAATAGATCTTGGAAGAAGTTTTCCTCCTCTACTTTTGGTTCCGCCTCTTTCTTTTTTAGGGTATGAAAGCAAAATCAACGAGCGTCATCTTGCGCTCTTTGCTTTTCAAAGGGGCTGGATCTTAGTCTTGAAAGTATGGGTCCCACTATCGATCACGAGGGTGATGTGACAATACAGGCCTCACTTGTAACCCAATTTAGTTTGATTTTGATTTATAAGATTTGGACTTATGGGTGAGATGTGATTTTAATTTTTTTAAATAAATTCAGTCTGTATTAGTCCGTTGATTGGTTAAAACCTGAAAAAATTATTAATACATAGAACGTGGATACAATAATTGTGGATCAAGTAAGCCTTCAACTAATATAATTATGAAAAATAAAATGATAAATCCAATGTGATTATTAACTCTTTAACATTAATTAGATGACTCTCAAAATCTAATCCTACCCATTATCTTTTATGACACTAATCTTTTACCATGCTTGTAATCACTACCATACCCTCACTTGTGCTTATAAATAGAGCAATGCTGACGGCTCCCAAGAAAAAAATAAAAGATTTATCAAATTTTTTACGCAATAACGATATAAATATAGAACCACAAATTATTTATAATTTTTAATATACATATGAAATTCTTAACATTTTTCTTAGGTCTTTTTTGTTTTCATAGACGAATGACGGGATTAGATTAATAGTGAGGTGCAACTTAAAAACAATATGCTTATTTTGAAATGCTCCCATTTGATCAAGAGTCTTGTAGAATTATGAAATCCCTCCAAGAAGGTGACATGGGCTTGCTAATTCAAACCTATAAGATTGGATGTTTGGAGGTAAAATAACCTTATTGTCTCGTCAATATACACAAAATATTAAAGGGAATTATAGATGGGAAAAGGAAAAAAGAATTACCAACACATTAGAGGCCTACAGTCTTTCATTTACACCCCATCATAGACATACTTGTACCCCTATGTATTGGCAATTTCTTTCCCCTTCACCCTTCCGCATGTAGTTCCCCAAAATATTAAAGTCACATTTTTATATAATGAGAATTTTTATGTAATATCATTAATTTAATCAAAATCAATTAATACTATTATAATAATGCACAAACAAATACAATTTATTTTACACATCTAATTTAATGTAAACATTAATTATCTTCCCACTTAATCTCATGATACTAATAATCTCATCCAAACAAACTGGCCGTTATAGATTACATTCCAATCCAATGCATGGACAAGTTATTTGGTAGTCTTGCGACATGATGCATTGATGAAAGAGATATGGTGTGTTTGGAGATAAATTTTCAAAAAAAAAATTTGGAGAAAAAGTTTAGAATTTTTTTTTGATTTGTTTGGTTGTATATTGTGAAAGTAATTTTGAAGTTTGGGAGTTTAAGATGATTTGATATTTTGTTAGAATTGAGTAAATGTGTGTGAGAGAAAAAACAATTGAAAAGGAGAGATGAGAAAAAAAAAAAAGTGATTCATTAATATGTAAGAAAAAGAAAGTAATTTTACAATTTATTTTCAAAAAATTTAAATCAAACAAAATTTTAAAATTTTGTTCTCAAAAATTATATTTTCAAATACAAACTGAACAAGCTCATATTGTTTATAATTTTGTGATTTTTGTGATGAATCAATTAAAAAATAATCGGACAAAATAATATTAGTCATTGGTGAAGAGTACACCAAATAATTTTTCCAATGCAAGGACCACATAAAATAAGTACACGCCATAATATGTGTACCATCATTAAAACTATCCTCTCCTCACCTTTCACTTCAACATCAAACCTCCCAATCCCCCACTTCCATCTATCACAACCACAAAACCCAAATCCACGGCTCTCAATTATGTTGTTTTTTTTATTTAATTATAATATTTTTTTAATTATAATTAATGAGATGTTAAATTATGTTTTATGTTTAATTATAATATATTTTTAATTATAACTCAAAAAATATAAAATTATGTTATTTTTTTTTCTTTCAATATGCATATGAAATTCCCCCACATGTCAACACATTTTTTGATCTCAAATCACACTAATTAAATATTTTCATTTATTTAGTATTTATTTAATTTAATTAAATTTTTAGAAAATATTAAGAAATCTAAATATTTTACTAAATATTCTATTAAAAGTCTCATATAGATATAAGGCTTACGAAAAATTATTTAATAATTTCAGAACAGTAAGTAATCATATTTCAAGTCAATCACTAGTTATTTAGTTTTAAATTATTCTCCCAACCTCTACATAAATTGTGAGTTCATACTTCTCTCTACCAATCAAAATTTCATAAAATATTACGGTTCATATTCCGAAAATATTAAATAATCATCTAAAACTCACACCGTATGAATTCTATAGGAATCCCACATCATATAAAACATTTAGGCCAAGTTTGGGAAGTTGTAAAAAAGTCAAAAAGCCAACAAGTTATTCAAAAATTTAAAAAGTTATCACTATTCATCAAAAGTTAAAAATTACAACTGCACAACTCCCAATCATAATTTTGTCTTACACACTAATTTATATAATTTTTTAATACACATTTTTTCATAAAAATTTAAAAAGTTAACCCAAATAATTATATTTTTTTCCTCAACTTTTTAGTCTAAAAAAATAAAAAGTACACTTATTTAGAACACCCCAAACAACCTCTTAATATAACATTTGATAAAATATTTATATGGCCACCATTATTCTATTTTTTTTTTTTTACTTAATGGAGTCTCTCCAAGGAAACATCAGAGCACAGTCTGCAAATTCTTTGCTATTTTTGAGGCCACTTTTTCTCAGCGCTTTGTCTTCTTCTTCTTCTTTTACTTCTACTTCTTCTTCTTCTTCTTCTTCGCTCGAGCTCTCTACCTCCATTTCCGTTCGGGTTTGGGGTTGTAGCAACCAAAATTCGTCTAATTATGGTTTCAGCACAGAGTTTGAGTTTAAAAAACTAGGGTTTTCATTTTGATTTTGTTGAAGCTTTTGCGTTGATGTTGTTGTTGTTGTTGTTGTTCTTCGATTGGTGATGGAAGCGGTGAATCCACAGCCCCTTCAGGCTCTTCCGTACGAGGATCACTTGGTTTTTCCGACTGAGGACGACGGCGACGACTACGACGACGGTGGCGATGGTGATGATGGTATGGATGAAGCGGAGGATGAGCATGTGACTTCGGTGAACGCTTCGGACCACCACCACCACTACTACGGCGGCGGAGGTGGTGTTGTGGTGGCGTCTAGGACTAGTGAGCTCACTCTTGCTTTTGAAGGAGAGGTTTATGTATTCCCTGCTGTTACGCCGGAGAAGGTGCGTTCGTCTTCAATTGGATTGGTTCGTTGTTCAGTTGATTTTATTTTCATTTCTTCAAAATCGATTGTTTGTACTTTATTTTATTTTATTTATTTATTTATTTTTTTAAATTTAAATAATACTGAAGCAGCTATAACGACTTTTTGAATATGCGTTAATATCAAAAATAAATTCTCATTTTCGTTAATTTTTAATTTTTTAAAATTTTTGGGTGTTGTATATATGTATGTATGTATGTATGTATGGAATATTTGAAGTTAAATTACTGTATAAAGGTAACGACTTTTTGAATATTCATATTGGCACTGTATCTATTATGTCAAGTTTTTTGTGTTGTTATTAGTTTAATTTAATTAGAAAAAAGTGACAAAAGGATTTTTTCAACAAGAGAGGAATTTGAAGGCTACTGTGAATTTGGAAAATTTCATGCGAAAAAGTATCCTACTGTGGGCAAACTAGTGTGTTTTTGCGATAAGCTTTCACTCAATTTTTTGTGCAGTATTTTAACCTCACATTTGCTTCTCATAGGTCTATGAGAGTCTTAAACCCACTCCGCTCCACCTCAAACTGGCCTTTTCTTTCCTGATATCCAACTGTGAAGGTAACCTGGTGAGATGATCTTCAGAATATACCTTAAAGTTGGAAGGAAACGAGATTATTCTATTAGGAAATTCAAACTTCTGTTGACTAAGTATTCATAATGAAGTTAAAATGTGTAATTTAAAATCATAGCTAATCTAGAAATACAACCCATTCTACACATTCAAGTCATGCAAAGTTCAAGTTTGATGTACTCAAGTCAGCCAAATATCAAGTGATAAAAACAAGTCTTCAAGACTTTAATTAATACATAGAAGCAGAGTGTCTAAAATGTATGAGCTTGTGGAATTTTTGGACATTGGATTATTTGTTGAAAAAAAAATTAAAAAAAAAATCATCACTGAGATGCTCCCATGTACTCACGGATTTAAATACCAGCAGGTTCATATTGGATTTCCATGCCTCCGAGTCAGCTACACCCTGCTAGACCGGTGTGAATGAAAACTAGCTTGCAAACCAGCCTATTCACGGTACGTAATGGCCTAAACCAGATTTTGTGAACCAATTCATTAAAGAACTGCAAGTGCTCTTCTAGGTTGGCTTAGGATTCTCTTCCTCACCAATGTGGGATTATAGGTCTTGAGTTATAGTAATAAACTAATACATTGATAGTTTAATTCATAAAAAAAGTCTTTATATAACAATTATTTCTCTTAATAACGTTATTTATTTTTAGTACATTTATTTATTTTGTTTTTCATACAATAAGCAAAATATAATATTAGAGGTCGCAATACTCAATGAAATATCAAAAATTAAAATTAAAATTAAAATAGTTCAAATACCTGTATAATTGAGTTTTAAAGCAATTATGATTGTTTTTAAAATTTCACGACCATTTCATCCGATTCCTGATATGTATCACTCAATACTCCCAACATCGTTACACCGCGACCAATACCGATTCGTATCCTGATACCGATATTTAAAACCATTCATGTACTTGCATTCTTTATTGTATATTTCAGTCATGCTTCGTACATGAGATATGATGTTTTTAATGAATGAAATTTTTGTATCCCTAAACTGACGCTGAGTGAAATTTTTGTGAGTGTGTCTCTTTATGTGGTTGGCTAGTGGTGTGATCTAATTTTGGTGCCCAACTTCCTCCATCCCTCCTGTTACTTTTTAAGTCTTCTCTTCTCCACTTCTATCTTTGTATCTCCTATTCAAAATGCCAGTAAGATATGGTTAGATGACAATGGTACAATTGACTCTCTTCATTTTATATTTTCTTTTTTAAATCATACTCTACTGGTATTTCACTATCCATTAATTTCTATTTCTGGATAAATAGAATAAGGTATTATTAGTTGATCTTTAGTTCAATTTTAGATAATTTCGTTTGCTCTCTCTCACATTCTAGTTATCTCTTCTCAACTTCTTGTATTATTGGTCTAGTACTTAAAAACATCCATAAATTATGTCTTGTATACTGTGGAGTATGTATCAAAATATTTCTAGCGTGGAATGTGTTTACTTTGACATAGTGCATGGCTTATGGAAAATGTGCAGGTGCAAGCAGTGCTCTTGCTTTTGGGAGAGCGCAAAATACCTACTGGTGTGCCTACCATTGATGTTCCATTTAATTCGAATAACAGGGTAATTTTGAAGTGGGAAGCATTGAAGGCTACTATTTTGTGTTTTCTAAATTTGTATTCATGCTTTATCTGCAATATTTTTAGGGTGTGGATGATAACCAGAAGTGCTCAAATATTTCACGAAGAATTGCCTCCCTGGTTAGGTTCCGTGAAAAGCGGAAGGAGAGATGCTTTGATAAGAAAATTAGGTACACCGTGCGAAAAGAGGTTGCTCATAGGTAAGAGGTGGTTACGACTCATGTTTTAATCTGCAATTAATGCATCTTTGATGTGGCTATTTAAATGTGTCGAGTGTAACGGGAATGTTCTCTTCTCTTTATTTTTCTTTTGGGGAGGGTGACATAAAGGAGGCCCATGGTTCCCATCCGAATGCCTCGGAAATGGGTTGGGGCATACTGGTGTTACCCAAAAGCTTTAGGCCTTTGTTCCACATTTGTACTAACTCCACAGCGAGTTGTGTATTTATCATATCCTTTCACATCTGTAGAACTTTTTAACTTCTATAGGTCATATTTTTGTGGTCCTATAAAATGTTTTATAAATTGGTTAGTGCATTTTGGTCACAACGATTTGGAATATATAAGAAATCTGGGAGATTTAGATACTCCACCACGTCAAGGATAAACATAAATAATTAGGCATGGAAATCACAAATTGCAAACGGCGATATATAAGCAAACCCTCTATTTAGTAGGGTTATATTTGATATGAGAAAAACTTTTCTTCCAAAACCCTCAATCCCAATCATTTTGGTAAAATCCTTACTGCCTTCAATTTGCCCTTGGTTACAATTATTTTGATAGGATTTTTAGTGGTTTGAAATTTGAATGTGAAATGATTATTTCAGTGTAACTAACAACAACCAAAAAAAAAAAAAAAAGAAAAAAAGAAAAAAGATAAAAAAAGTAAAGATTATTCCAATGTAAGAGGTGTTAGCATTTGTGAGTATAACGTTTCCTTCTGTATGTATTATCCTAATAGGATGCATCGGAAGAATGGTCAGTTTGCTTCATTGAAAGAAAATTCAGCCACTTCTAGTTGGGATTCTACTAAGAGTTGCCTTCAAGGAGATGGCACACCTCGTCCAGAAACTGTGTGAGTGGCAACCTGAATCTGAAATTTCTGTTTTAAATATATAGACCGATATTTCACTATATTCCTCCTAATTAATCTTTACAGTGAATATCATTTTCTGCAATATTTTCCAGTGTTCGAAGATGTCAACATTGTGGTGTTGGTGAAAATTCTACTCCTGCAATGCGTCGTGGCCCAGCTGGACCAAGGACACTCTGCAATGCATGTGGGCTTATGTGGGCAAACAAGGTATGTATAGTCTTGATCATCAAAATCTGTAACTTCTTTTATTTCTAAGGTCATCCCTTTGGGACTAAAAAATGACCGGGATCTCATTGCTCACTTCGCCAGACTTTGCATGAGTGTGAACTTCATGCATTTAGTTGATTAAATGCTAATTCAAAATGTAATGTTTGGATGTAAGTTTGGTCACTGTTAAAAGCTGAGGAACTGGCCTTATTCTTCAGGCTTCTGTGAAACTTGGTTACTTGACAACACTAATATTCTAGCAATTCACATTACGAAGCACAAGTTTTTAAGTATATTTTTTATCCCAATACATTTAAGTAGTCCAGAATTTTTTTTTTCCTGTTTCTTCTCTCAGTTTTATTCTTTAGAAGAAAAAATTACAGAAGAATGTTATAAAGAAATTCAATCTAAATTACTAAATATGCTAATTACATTGGAGTTTTTGGGAAAGGATTTGGGAAATAGCCATAGAACACCAAATACTAATCATACTCGGGTACGCTAGTTTTATGCTTTCGTTCACAATTTAAAACAATTTTTTAATTTTTTTTTTTCCATATATCATTTATCAATTTTAAAACAATTTTTTTTTTTCCATATATCATTTAAAAGGGAAAATCTATCCCATTTCTAGAAATGCTTTAACCTTCTTAAATCATGATATAAATAAAAGCTGACCTATTGTACTGCATTTTGGACTATGAGGTGTACCATATTTCTTGTTCCACATACCCGAACGATAAACATGTTGGGTAACATTGGGTAACTGAAATTGTTGTTGATGGTGCTTCTTCTATTATTATTGAGATAAAGGTTTCTCCCCAAAATGCTGGTATCTGTGGCTTTGGATTGAGTTTTATTCTTGTTATTAAATTGTCTATACAAATCATGGCTACCTTTTTCTTTTGTCTTTTGCGGTGGTTTCTTGTTTTATTTCACCATATTGTTGAACGGGCAGGGAACTCTGAGAGATCTGAGCAAGGGAGGGAGGAATCTTTGTTTGGACCAAATAGAACCGGTACGTTTTGTGTGAAGACAACTGTAACACCTTATTATTGGAAGGTCTATTACTCCCTCTTTTGGCAGCCAGATTTAAAATCTTGTTGTGGTTCCATGACCATATCTTCTTTTTTCGGTTCATGGTGAGTTGAATTATGGCCAAATATTAAAAGGTCATTGCCAGACATGATAATAATAATAATGATGGCGGCGATGTTTGATTTACCCAAAGGTTTTGTTTGGGATTTGCAGGAAACTCCCGTGGATATTAAGCCTTCAATCATTGAAGGAGAAAATTTCTGTGGAAACCAGGATAATCCTGTATGATAATTTATTTATTTATTTTGGTTCATTACAATGAAATTGTCATCAATGAATAGACAAGGTTGTAGTTTGTTACCTGATCTGTGGTATATGCAGGGAACGCCTGACGATCCTTCTAAGGTTGTAACAGGAGAAACTGGCAGTCCTGTCAATCCAGATGAGGAAGTATGTTCTCAGTTCCAACATTAGCTTTACGATAAATTCAATGACATCATTTTCGTAAAATAAGTATAACGTTGTACATATTTATGCTCCATGCAAGCATTGTAACTACTAATGTTAGTTTTTTGACAAAGTTTGACTTTAACCATTTATGGTCCAAATAAGCATTTCTGTATAGTCTGAGCATTTCCCTTTTATTTTCTTGGGATCTGAGTAAATCGCGAGTTGAAGTGAGCCCGAGATCCAATTTTCAAAGGGGTAACGTGTAACCAAATCTCAAGAGTGAATTTTTGTCACTGTCTCATTCTAAGAAGTATGGACACTTCTAAGAGAGTAACGTGTTGTGTCCGACACTGACACGACACAACACGACACTCGGCGGACACTTCTGAATACTTAGATGCACATGAAACACATTACAAGTTTAAATGAAATAACTTGAAATTCAATGATAAAACAAAAATAATCCAAATTTATATATATTCTTCTCTTTTAGACTTTAAAAATTATTATTTGACTTAAATATTCATATATATGACATATAATAATTATTTATCGTTATATATGACATATAACAAATATGTAAAATTATATTTTGCACGTGTCCTCCACCACATGTCATCTCACATGTCCGTGTCCGTGTCCGTGTCCGTATCCGTATCCATACTTTTTAGGTTTCATTAAAATTCACTTGTTTTTTATTTTTATTATTATTTATTTATTTTTCTGTAAATGGCTTATCTTTTGGTAAAGTAAGCATTTATTACCAAAAAGGAAAAAACAGACAATGAAGCCCAGTATACGTACCCTTGGGTACACTTAACCCAACCCCAAAGGGCACACCTATCTCAAATAAGAGAGAACACAAGCCTAGCCCACTTTAAAATTACACTCCTCGCAGCTCAGTAGGCTAGGCCACGAACATATGGTAAATCAAAGGTATCAAGAAAATACATCCATTAATTTATGACTGTCCAAATGAAGACCAACCTCACTGGCCCTGCCTCACGGCCACATCAGATCCAAACTACTGGACGGGTTTACAGATGTAATGCAAATTCGTTAAACTTAGCAAAATGAGGGTAAATGATTTATGTCCTGCTGACATTAGTTTCAGTGTCAACAACTCCATTAATGTTCTTTTGATGGTTACACGAATTATTTAACATTTTGTAACAACATGATCTCGAGTTTATTTGTAGGGAATAGCACTAAAAATAGTTTACTCTATGTAATGTCTGATTATGTGGTTCAAATTGTGCCTCTTCCCTGTTATCTAGGATTTGTGTGGAATTGCAGAAGATCATACAAATAGTTTGGCAGTGGGAATTATCAATTCTTCATGCAACCTTGATGAGCAGGTATAATAACTCCATGAACAATTGATTATAAAGTCAATCAATTGTTAAAATGTACTGAATTTTGGGCAGTTTCAGGGCGGTTTGATCCTTAGTTTCTCAGATTTTCCCCTGTAATGTGAGAACGACACAGCCATGTAACTAAAAACATTGAAAAATATTTCACGTCAACAGTAAATCAAGGGTTAGGAATCACAATAGGTGTACTAGTAATTGTTTGGTTAGAAAAAGAAATATTTGCAAGGATACAACAACGTATTGGCCTTGAATATGCCGTGGCCTTTGGAAATTCTTCCAGCTCTAGTAGATAGGGCAGTTAAACGAATCAACCTACTCGAGCTCGACTCGTGTTTGGCTCGTTAAAAATTCATTTGAAATCGACTCTTTATGTAAACAAACCAAGGTTGAACACAATTTTAAGCTCGTTAAGTTTTCAAGCCAAGCTTGAACAATTTACTACTTGGCTCGATAAGCCTATGTATACTATAAAAAAAATTAAACTATTCAAGCTCAACTCATGTTTGACTCGTTAAAAGCTAGCTCAAAATCAACTTGTTATATAAACAAATCAAGTTTGAACATAATTTTAAGCTTGTTTAGTTATCAAACCAAATTTAAACCTACTGCTTGGCTCGTTTTCAGCCCTACTAATAGATGGGGCAAAATTGCTTTCCAAAGATACTCGTTTATTTAGTGTGGACCATCTCCATTTTATTAAGTTAGTCAGTAATTCTTTTTTGGTGTACAACTTCTCTCACTTCAAGTTTTGGGATATGCAGGAAACTCTTGTTGAGCTTGTAAATATTTGTTCAGAAACTGAGATTGACATTCCTGCAAACTTTAGTGTAGGTATAGTTTCTTAGTTCCGAGAAACACGATGTTATTATTGTGTATTTTCTTTTTTATGTTTTCTTGCTATAAACAGGTCTATAATTGTTAGACTTCTTCAAAAGGAAGAGCAAGCAAGAACTCGTCGGAGCTTCAAATGGCGAATGAGTTGAAAATACTGATTGCAGTTGATTCTCTCTCTCTCTCTCTCTCTCCAAAGAGGCACACTGCGGGTTACCCCTAACATTTGAAAATATGGGGGTGCTTAATGTTGATATTAATTGATAGGATCTTGTATGTGTGTATTGAGAAGATATTTTGAGTGTCTTAACCAATCTATATACATATATATGATAATTTTCTTGAGCTTATTCTTATTGGAATTTATTGAATTCTTCTGCTTCATTTATTTATTTATTTGGATAAATTACTAGGACCTTCCAAGACAATTGGGATAATATAAATTAAATTACACCATCCTCCATTAAATGTGATGTAAGGTATACGGAGCTAACAAAAGATTTTAAGTTTCTTTTTTAGCCCTTGCATATTTTATGTTTTGGAAATCAAATACAACTTAAATGTCAGATTACCCTTCTTCTTCACGTTTTTTCTAATCAATGTCCAACCCCAAACCTTTTTGCCATTGCCGATGACAAGTATGATTGTAGGTTAGAGGCCATTACATTACTTCAGTACTCTTATAGGAGAGGTTGAAAGTTCCTATCCTATAGGTTAGGTTAGTTGTTTTTCAGTTTTTATTTTTATTTTTATTTTTAGGAACATTTACCAATTAGTCTTATTAATTAGACTGATTTACTTATAAGTTTTGACTGATAAATTTATCACTATAAATTTATTTAGGAGAATTACATGTAGGTGGGAGAAGAAAAAAATTATAAACACAAGGGGTGCAAGTGTCTATGTGGTGGTGGGGTTCAAATGAAAGGTTGTAAGGGTGCAAATGTCACTTGCACCCTTTCATGTGTTAATTTTTTTTCCCGACTCTCACCTGCATGTAATTTTCCTAATTTATTCATAAAACAATAAAACTTAATGGATACATATTAATAATTTATCCTTATTTTTATTTTTACAATTGATAAGAGGGGAAACAGGAGACAAGCTCCTCCATTGCACAACCACTCACTCATCTTTCCCCTCACTATTGCACAACCACTACTCTACTCTCGCTCCAACAGTACAAACCTTTCTTTTTCTTCTTTCTTCTCTCAAAATGAAACTTAGATCAACCATATACGCATAAGTTGATATCCAATACTTCCTCAAAATTAATATCAAGTATCAGATACATACAAGTGTACGAGAAATATCGATCTCTTCACAACCAGATGGATGACAAAGTACACCCATAAACAAGAGCCCAGTCTCACCAAAAAGCACTAGCCAAGATGGCGGGAACCATATTAGAATCAAACCGTTTAACCAAAGTGAGAAAAAATAAACTTGGCCAAAAAGATTGTGGTACCAACTCTATTATCAACATACACCATCACATCAGAGGCACGAAACTTTCATTTATTCTATTATCAACATATGCAGCTGAGCTGTCCATACAAAATTGTGCTAGGAACTCTTGAGGAGCTCCATATGTTCATTCTAGCCAAAGGATATATATATATATATATAACGCATACAAAAAAATAAATAGCCATTGAGAAGGATCAAATCTTCTTCCTTGCACAATAGATACAACTCTTTCACAGTAGGCCATCACAAGGAGTATTTCACCTTAACAATGCAAGCATTCCTTCAACTGCATTTATTTGAATATAAACTTGGAAACATCTTGAATCTTTCAAGTATTTCATCCAAGGTAGTAACCAAGTCGAATCAATTAAAATTGCCCCGCTTTCTATCGTTGCTTGATTGGGGGGCTTGATAGAAAAATATAAAAAACCCTGTGCCTCGCACTTATCTAATATGGAGAATACTGCCAGTTTAATGGCTATCCTCGTCAGGTGAAGATTCACTAGAAGAATCACTCTGATATGGCATGCTCTCCATTGGTGATGATGGAAGTTCTTCTCTCTGCTGGGGAGATGCACCTGATAAAGAAGCATTTATCAGTCTTTGTATTAAGCTCATAAGCTAGCTTATTGGCTTAAAATAGCTCACAAATAAGTTGGTGATTAAAAAGCTAGTTCATTTGACATATTTATGGTTTTTTGGCTTTTCTAATGACTCCTTAGCAAGTCTCTTTTGAGTTCAAATCCTCCAAATCTTAACATAAGAGCCAACTTCACGTGTTTCCATACATACCAACAATGGCATAGTGAGTTGAAATTACAAAAGCACCCAGGAGGTTAATGAAAATGACTACAAGTTTACGTCAACCATGTAAATGCATCTACTAGCACTCCTATTTTCATTCTACGCAGTAAGGGAGGATAGTAGCTAAAGCATTTGAACTCGGTGCAATGTTGTAAAATGTGGCAGACAAATTTCGAGGTTTTAAGCCCATGTGAAGAAACCAAAGATCAGCCGAGAGAGAGAGAGAGAGAGAGAGAGAGAAGTCATATGGTTATAATTCAAATGGAAATGAGTCTCGCAAACCTTTCTGCCCTCGAAACTTTTTGGTGTGCCGTCTAATAAGCTTCTTAGCTTTGGTTATAGTTAGTTGCCTTGCAAAGGGAGAGAACTCTACATCACCTTCACTCCAGTCACCATTTAACTCATTCTCCGTTTCACCCCTCATTGTCCGAAGCACAAAGGCCTTGGCCTTGCGGCGCTGAGAACTAAAAAGGCCCCTTACAGATGTGACAAATCCATCCCCTGCTCCATCGCCAGGGCGCTTGGCCCATGACATTGGGTGACCAGACTTCCCAGCTGAATTTCCTCCATCACTGTCGCTCAAATTAGGATCGCTGTCTGGAACACTAGCTCCCCTGGATTCCCTCTGACTATGTGCTTTATCTTTAAACTTCTTACCCTGCGCATAAATTGAGGAATATGAGTGGTACAGGAAAATTTTCTTACCAAGCATTTGAATCTAAATAGTACTGTAATCAATCTGGAATGAATGTCTTCTTTTTTTTTTTTTATCAGCTAAAAGCTTCAAAAGAATTTGTATTTTTTTTTTTTTTTAGTGTTGGGTGAACAAATGCTTGTGAATTCAATGCTACCCAAATTAATAAAGATACATCAGAGGGTTACTAACAATAGTATTCTTCTTAAGTGTAACAAAAAAGAAGGTATTCTTGTTAATTGCTATGAAGTGTGGGGGAGGACCTATGTAACATGGACTACCAAAAAAAAAAAAAATCAAATACCTGTATTGAACACCTAACACTTGGACAAGGGTGTGAGATATGTTTGATACGTTTCATCAGACACTGATCGAACACATCTATGCATTTGTATTTAACACTATCATATATATATTTTCGTATAATTCCTATATAATGAGTAAAATGTCTTTTTGACACTATATGTTACATATAACACCATTTTATCTCACATAATAGATTAAAAATATAAAAATATAACAAATTTTTGCTGAGTTCATGTATCCTTAAATTTGAGGTTTGATGGATCCAACCGCTAGATATACATCTGCACCCAATACTCATACACCCAAGTCCGTGTAACATAGGGGAGGACACAACTTTTAGGATAGTCACACAGTAATACAATTAGACAGGGACAAATCTTGCTACAGTGCACCAGGGGTGTTGGGGATTGTTGGGACTCTGCGCACATAAACTAAAGAGAGTGCAGGTTGTTGGGAACTCACAGGATAATATATCCTCCCCCTAAAAACAAAAAGAATAAGAAATATAGGTCCGGATTACTTACCTGCATTCCTGTGACAGACTTTAAGACTCCCCAAATAACATGCTTCTTAACTCGTGAAAACAGCCGCCTCCAGGTTCCAGTGAAGTCAACACGGTGAAATGTATCCATCAGCAACCTTAGCTCAGTGACAGGCAATGGTGGTCCTTCATAAGTAACTAGCAGTTCAACCTATTCCATTGTGATGTAGACAAATCAATACAAAAGAAGCATTATTACAACAGAAAACAATGGATTGAAATTTCCTAGCAGACTGAACTGACCTGGCTTATCTTGATATTGTGGAACTCCCTCATTCTTCGAGGATTAGATCTTTTCTCATCCTGTGTCTTTCCTACCTTCTTTTCCTCATTAGAGGAACGATTGGATTTTATAGATTTGGTGTCTTTCGACTTATTTTTAGTGGATTCATCTTGTTGTTCAATACCGAGGGATCCACTTCTTGATGGAGAAATGCTTGATAATACAAGTTCATTAGCCACAGATTCGGCTACATTTTCTTCCCATGTTTTATCAAAAGAAGATGATCGTCTTAGCTTGGGGCTTGAACTGCAAACAACATTAGCCTTTAAGCTCTGCAACTTTGACCCCTGCAAGTATTCAGTAATGCAGTGGTGATATGTGTGGCTTAAGAAAGAAAAAAAAAGAAGTTGTTTCTGGAAAGAGAGTATTCCCCTACAAAATGAAACCACCCAAGACCCTAAAGGTCATCCTTACAAACAGGCCTAAAGAAAGCACTTAACGCTAAAAATTGCCTCACACAACACATTTCTATTCCTCGACACATTGAAGTTACCAAGTCAGTTCAGGTAGAATCATCGAATGTGGAACAAACTTCAAAAACTCACTTGAGAGGAATCAGCAGAAGACTGACTGGTACCAGAAGTTAAGGGTACAGCAGAGGTGCTTGATTTGGAGAAAACCTCAAATTCTTTTGTTGGGTGACTGCTTGATCCAGAAGCTTCATGCATAGATGAGCCTTTCTTTACACGTTTTGAACCAGCAGTGGTTGAAACCTTCCAAACTTCCTGAATATCATCATGTGATTTGCCAATTCCATTAGTTCCTCTAAAGAAAGCTAGAACACAGATTTTCAAGCAAGAAAGGACTAACCTGGCGTCGTTGGGAGTCTTGTTCTTCTTCTGGGAAGAAATACCCCCATACCACATGGTACAGTGACTCTGTCAAATGTATCTTTAGGGGGTAGATCTCTACCTGTAATATAGAAGGTACTTTACTGTTACACAAATCACAATCAGTTCACTAGTGTTATCATAAGATATACAACTGCAGAGGAAACAGAAACTGCTTTGTTAATGGACAGAAACTCTTCAATAATTGATCAACTGACATGGCCCCCCCATTTGGTAGCCAGCACTTACAAGTCAACCTTATTTTCTTAAAAAAAAAGTTTGAGGAATGATGTTTGGTTGCAATTTTGAATTATAACTTATTTGATTTTTTCAGCTTATTTGGCCAAAAAAGTAAGATTTTCTTAACCTACAATTTGTAACTTTTTTAGCTTATTTGAAAACCTTAAATATGTATGGACAAAAGAGCCTCATCTCTTTCATTTTTATTATAAATTTTGAGGATATTCTGGATATTTCCACAACAAAAAAGCTATGTGATTGCTTATTTAACCAAACAGGATTAAAGTTTTTCAAAGATTATAAAAAGTTAAACCAAATAGATTTACAACTTATTTTCGTTCTTTTAAGCTGATAATTATAATCATAAAAGTTGACTTATAAGTGATACCAAATGGAGCCATGGTAAAATTCAAACCATTTATAGATTGCCAAGTGCATCGTGGATACTACTCCAACTAAGGTGATTGCATGACAAATGGTGAGTGCTACGTTAAATAAACTCTTTTTGGGGACAGTCTATAAATAACAGGACATCTTCTGTTCATTGTGGAAACAGCCTATTCCATTGCCGACTCCCTCCTATCCAAAGCTACTCTTTGCAGCAGTGCAAAGATCCCATGTTTTTTTTTTCCCCAAAGCAAATCAACATCAAATTGCATAGTGTATGTTAAGTACTGTTGAAGTCTACCTGCAAATAAGTATCCAAAAAGCTTTTGCAGACATCTTTAGTTGTAATAAACTAGTCAGCAAGTTGAACTACTAGACCCCATTTGGTGTTGCTGCGGCTTGTAATGAAGTGCTTTTCTTCTAAGAGCTATTATAAAGAGGTACAATGCTAATTGGTTTCTACACTTTGAAAAGCGCTTTTACTTTCTCTTTCTCATGAAAGCACCTCAATTGAAACTACTAAAAAGTGCTTTTCATTACAAACCTTAAAGATGCAAGAAAACACACCACAAAGCACTCTTCCCAGCTAAATGAACCATAGCACCGAACAGGGCCTTAATCTGTTTACGATACAACGTAATTTCGTACATTTTTTCCCCTGGAGATATTGATGTAATTGTCATATGCCCTCGGAAGAGGTAAACTTTATCTCTATCTCCTAGGCAAGGGTGTGGCACTTATTTTAATGTAGCGTTTAACATCATCAAATATAATGAATTAAGGTAAGGTGTTATTAAGACACTAGGCTTTGGGATTTAAAGTGCTCATTTCTGTTTCCCTATCAGCAGCTTTCAACATCAAGGTATTGTTTGAACTGTTTCTATTACTTTCGGGAAGAAAAAATCTGCACAGCACAGAGATGCACAATCCAACATGTGACTAATAAGGTGCCAAAGATGTGGAAACTGGTCTTAGGGAAGCCCATTGTTTCATTGTACACTCTACATTCACTCAAGAAAATAAGAAACCTGATGGTCTTTATGTTTAAGTTGAATTTTGACATCCTTACCAGTGTCTACATGGTTGTTAAAATCTTACAATTCACAATTCAATTCATACGATTCAATATGAGTTTCAAGCAAAATGATTTGATTTGTGCCTAAGAAGCACGTACACTACTAACAAGGTGACGTATCGGTGTCGTGTCCGTGTCGGACACCGACACTCTTTTTGGACACTCTTAGGGTACGTGTCCGACACTCTTCAAAACGTGTCCTATTTTTAAATTTCTTTTAAAGACTTAGACACTCTTTGGACACTTGGAGAACACGCGTGTCAATCACTTAAACACACGCTTCTATCAATTAGACACATATGAAACCAATTATAAGTTTGAACAAAACAACTTCAGATACAATAATAAAACAAAAACCATATAAATTCATAGGAATTAGTGTCATGTTGCATTTTTTATTATCTTTGAATAATATAATTATATATATAATATATAATAAATATATAAAATTATATATTTCATGTGAGTCCTGCATTTTTTGAAAATTAACGTGTCGGCGTGTCTGTGTCGTATCCGTATTGTGTCATGTGTCCGTGTCCATGCTTCTTAGATTCATGCAGTTGAATCTTGAATTGAGTCAATCTTATGATTCAAATACGATTTACATGATTCAAGTGATTTAGTTCTGTTTGCATAATGTATAAAACGGTGTCATTTTCGCAAAATAAAAAGAAAAATGAAAAAAAGATATCAATTAATTATATTGATATTTGATTTTACATGTATATACATATATATGATTTAGTTATATTGATATTTATTTCATTTTAAACACCATGTGTATTTTATATGTATATACATATATAAAATTATATATTATGCTAAATAAAGTAAATTTTACAATTCACAATTCGATTCGCAATTTGACGACAATGGTTATCTACAAGGAGAAGGAACTCCTTTATCACTGACCCTCCTTATTTTGAAGGAATCAAGTCGGATGTGGAACTGATTACCTGGAAGTTTTCAATAGGACAGTTTCCATCCTTTGGAGCTCCCTGCTTTGCATCTACTCGAAGCATTACTTTTCTGCAGAAGAAGAGAAGATTTTTGGTGAGAAAGATATGAAGAGTGTGCACAGGTAGCCAATATGTCAGACACAGTTATAACACTAGCAAAATAAAATATGAGCAAAACATAAAAAGCCTTGTAATTTATAATATCTAGCAATTTTCGAGAATGATTGATATGCATTTGACACTTCATGTATTCATTATGAGAGGTAAAGTAAAATCCACTAAATGCACCAAAAGGGGTGCAACCTCTGTACACTAAGAGTATCGAATCAAGCCAAAACGTTGTTGACAAAATTAAGACCTATTAATTCTACAAAACCAAAGGAAGAGTCACAAAATCTTCCTTTCATCCAAAAATGAACCTAGGAAGCTTACAGGAGAACTACACGTTTAGTTAGGCCTTCGGTAGTTTGTGACTATTAGCAGGTCACTACTCAATCTCAGTTGGGGTGGGATGAGATTGTGACACCGACCCCTCCAATCTACTACACATAAAACACCAATTGAGACCCCTATTTCCCAAAGTGTCAATAGTGAGGATTGAGTCCAAGGTTGTTGTCCACATATATATATATATATATATACAAAAGAAGCCAACTCTGCCGGGGTTGTTTAACTACTCTGCCAGTCCCAAGCCCGAGTAAAGGAGGAGAGTTGTGTGTTACGTAGCTGATGTCCAACATGTGAAAAAGCCACTCGGACCTCTTATGAAAGTGAATCCTACTTTGAATCGATTAAATACTAAGTCGTTCCCGTTAAGTGAAGCGTTGCGCCTCCCTTCGGGTGTTTCGAAAAGTGAGCAAGGGGTGCTGCATCGACGCCTGGGTGTCGTAAAAAATAGAGAAAGGTTTTTGCGTTTTTCTGTACGAGCGCAGATAAAGAAGCTAGTCCAAAATTATACGTTTAGGGTAACCACGTGGAATGTAGGAACTTTAACTAGTAAGACTATGGAATCGGTAGATGTCATGATTAGGAGGAGAGTTAGTATAGCTTACGTACAAGAAACTAAGTGAACGGGTGAAAAAGTTAGGAAAATAGAGGATACCGGTTTTAAACTGTATCATAGTGGCAAGGATAGACACAGGAATAAGGGTATGAATAATAGTTGCCAAGGGTTTTGTAAAAAATATAGTGGCGGTTCATTAGGAAAGGTGATCAGATTATGTTGATTAAACTAGTTATTGGAGAAAATATAGTAAACATTATTAGTACATACGCCCTTCAAGTAGGATTAGATGATCAAACTAAGAGAGATTTTTGGGACCAAATGGATGAGATTGTAAGATTTCTGTATATTCAATTGTCTTAGTAATACAAGAATACATTGGTTTATATAACAATCTAACCTGAGAACGAAAAAAGGAAATACAACTTATTTCAATCCCTAATATATACAAAATATATGTACTACCATATATACATAAAATCCCTAATATATTCTCACACACCCGCTTAAACTCAAGGTGTTTTAGCAGAAAACACTGAGAGTTTGCCAAGAAGAAACTGAAACCGAGCAGTGGTGTGAGTCTTGGTGAAGAAGTTAGCAAGTTGTAGAGCCAAAGAGACGGAAGGAAGTGAAATAGAGCCAAACTGCAGATGCTGATGGACAAAGTGACAATCAATCTCAATATGCTTCGTCCGCTCATGAAAGACACTGTTATCGGCAATCTAAATAGCACTGCGGTTGTCGCAATAGAGAGAGGTCGGAGAAGGAACCCAAATTACACAGAAGACAACGACACCAAACAATCTCAACAGTAGCATAAGCCATAGCACCATACTCAGCTTCGGCAGTAGAGCGAGTAACAACAGTTTGTTTCTTGCTTTTCCAAGAGATCAAGGAATTGCCAAGAAACATACAGAAACCAGACGTAGACTTGCGATCAGTAACATCACCAGCCCAATCAGAATCTGCATAGGCCACCAAATCTAGAGAAGCAGTAAAGGACAATAGTAAACCCTAAAATATAGTACCTCGGAGATAGCAAAGAATTCGAACCAATGCAACCCAATGTGAGGAATGAGGAGCGAGGAGCGAGGAGGAGAAACAAACTGGCTAACCACATGAACAGCATAGGCAAGATCGGGACGAGTAACCGTCAGATAAACTAAACAACCCACAAGCTCAGGATATAAAGTGGGATCATCTAGAGGGACACCATCAATAGAGTTAAGCTTCACATTAAGCTCAATGGATGTATCAGAAACCTTAGTATCAGTAAGACCAACACGGTGAATAACCTCATTAGCATACTTAGCCTGAGACAGAAAATAGCCTTTTGGAGAAGAAGCAACCTTAAGACCAAGAAAATACCACAATGGATCTAGATCTTTCATTTCGAAGCTGCGGAAGAGATGCTATTTGACCTTAGAGATAGCAGAAGAGTCAAAACCAGTGATGATCATATCATCCACATAGAGTAAGAGAGCAACAAAACTAGCTGAGGTACGTCTCAGAAACAAAGCAGAGTCGGAAGCAGAAGGATAAAACCCAAACTCAGTAACAGCAGTCTAAAAGCGATATCATACCAAACACGAGGAGATTGCTTCAAACCATAAAGAGCACGCCGAAGACGACAAACTTGTTTAGAGGAATGATGAAGGCTGGGGGGAGGACGCATGTAAACCTCCTCAACGAGATGACCATTAAAAAAAGCATTCTTAACATTCATTTGATAAAGAGGCCAATGGCGAATAGCTACAACAGATATCAAAGTACGGACAATAGTCATCTTGGCAACAGGGGCAAAGGTCTCCTTATAATCAATACCATACTTATGTGAAAAATCCTTGGCAACCAGACGAGCCTTGTAGCTCTCAAAAGAACCATCGGAATGAGTCTTAACTTTGTAAACCCATTTGCAACCAACCAGATTCTTACCAGTAGGAAAGGGAAAGGAACCAACTCTCAAGTACTAGTTTTCGGCAAAGCAGACAACTCATCCTCTATAGCTCGAACCCAATTGGGATCTTGACAGGCCTCCTTGTAAGACTGAGGTTCTGAAAAGGAATGAATAGCAGACAAAAAAGTATGATAGGAAGCAGAAAAATATGTATTAGACCAACCCAACCTGTTTGGAGGACGACGTACTCGAGTAGGATATCGGTGTTCAGCAAGATCGGAGTCGTCAAAAGTAGGAAGGAGCCGCCGGGGCAGAGACAACTGGTGGAGGGGGAGCCTGGCGACGAGAATAGACTAACAACGGAGGCGGAGAAGAAGCCAAAGGAGAAGAGGAAACCAGAGGTGAAGCAGGAGGAGAAGTAGGAATAGCCTCGGAGGTATTAGTGGAGAGGTACTCAACAAGAGGGGTGGAAGGTGGAAAAGAGGGAACAAGGTCATAGGGAACGGTAGAGATGTACTCATCAAGAGAAATCTCAGAAGGAAATTAATCATTGTGAACCAAATCCACTTTGGAAACCGGAGCAATGATAGGAGGAAGCTGAAAGTAAGGCAGACGTTCGAGAAAAGAAACATGACGGGAGACATAAAGACGACGGGAAATAGGGTCGTAACACCGAGAGCCTTTCTGAGTAGGAGTATAACCCAAAAAGACAGAGGACAGACCGGGTACTAAGTTTGGTCCTATCTTTGCGGAAAAGAAGAACAAAGCAGGTAGATTCAAACACACGAAGGAAGGAGTAGTTAGGAGTTTGGGAAAACAAAGCTTCATAAGGAGACCGACCAGAAAGAAGTGGAGTAGGCATGCGGTTGAGAAGAAAAGTAGCCGTAAAAACTACCTCTCCCCAAAATGGAGCCGGAATTGAGGCAGAGAGAAGAAGAGACCTAGCTGTCTTAAGGAGATGACGGTGTTTACGCTCAGTTCGACCATTCTAGGCAGATGTATCTGTATAGGACGTTTGGTAAATGGTACCCAAATTGGCCAAATATCCACAAAACTCATTTTTAAAATATTCCTCACCCAAGTCAGACCGTAACACTTTAATTGTAGATCCAAACTGAGTAGTAATCATAAACTGAAGGGTATGATGTATCTGATAGAAATCGGCCTTATGAGTTATAAGATAAACCCAAGTGTAACGGGTGCAGTCATCAATAAATGACACATAGTATGCAGAACCCCCTTTGGTGAGAACAGGAGAAGAGCCCCAAACATCAGTATGAACTAAAGAAAACGGTGTATCAGATATAGAAGTACTTTTACGAAACGGTAAGGCTGTCATTTTGGCAAGTTTACACCCCCCACATTCAGTAAGTTCACTAGGAGAAACTTTACCCAATATACCTGACTGAGCTAAAGACTATAAGCGGTCAGCAAACAAGTGCCCTAATTTAGAATGCCACAAGTAGAAAGAACTAGACAAAAAATCTAACTGAAAAGAGAAAAAAGCAATTGGGGAGGTTGTCATAGGCAGATGCAAGCTCTCCACCACATAGAGGTCTCCAACTCTACGGCTAGTCCCAATCTGCTGTTTGGACATCCGATTCTGCACAAAACAGATAGAAGAAGAAAAGATAACATCAAAACTATAGGCATCAAGCTGACTGATAGATAATAAACTGACAAATAACTAAAGAACATAAAGGATAGATAGAATAGAGACAGCAGACATAGCAGACGGTAAGACAGACTCAACAGATATAACAGACATACCAGACCCATTAGCAGCATTAACAGTAATAGGAAAAGGAGGGGCAGTACAATTTTGAAGGAAGAAGAGATGAGGAGTGAGGCACTAGAGTCAAAAATCCAGACAGACGAAGAGATACCTGAAGTAGACCCAAGCAAACCTGAATGAAGAGAGGAAACAACTAAGGCAGATTGGAAGTGATGGAAAGTAGACAATGTGGGTGTTTGAGAAGTTGCTACTTTAGTAGGCTAAAATTTTTGTGTTTGGGAATATAATTGGATTTTTTTGTAGTTGGATGTGATGTTTGTGGGAGAAAAAGTGAAATGATTATGAATTTGATATGACATTTTGTCTTATTAGCTATTTTAGCCTGTTTTGTCTTTTAGTGCTATTTTAGCCAAAAAAGCTAAAAAGCCTTTTTCCCAAACCCCCCAATATATGCTGAAGCTAAGCAATCAGAGCACTCAAGAAAGCCAAATCAGGATCAGGAACTGGAGCAGATCCAATATAAGTGGTTGGAGTCTGAAAAGTACTCGGAAAAGGAACATGGAACTAAGCCTGAGACTGCTGAAAAGACGAGGCAGACAAATGTCCCTTCGTAGGATAGTGATACTTCCAATGGCCTTGCTGAGGGCAAAAAACATACTCATCTGATGCCAGTAGCCCCCGTCTTGGGCTTTGCAGGAGACTGAAGCTTATGGGTATCTGACATCATAATGAACCAAAAATAGTGAACCAATTGGGTGAAGTATAATAAATAGAAAATTGATGGGTCAAACTGTAAAAACCCAAAACTAGCATTATATGGATCAAAATGTAATAACAGAGATTTGAGTGGTCACAAAATGTAATAAATCAAAAAACTAGATTTTCTAAAAACTCAGTAACTTAGAGAGTTTCTAGAAGTTAAGAACCAATAGCTAGAAGTCACAACTAGAGAGGGACAGATACCTATCGCCAATCACAAGCAGAGAAAGAGAAAAACTAAACACACTTTGAAGCAACCAGCAAACCAACAACGAACCACAGAGAGAGACGAATTGACCCAGAATCAGACGAGAACCAAGGAACTGTCCTTCGCAAGGAGAAAGGGTAGAGCAGACCTTCACGCGAGGCGCAAGAGAGGCAGAGACAGACGACCAGAGTCCTCTTCGACTCAGATGGGTTGCGATGATGGGTTTCGACCTGAACCCAAATGGGTCGCCACGAACAGATGAGTGGAGCAAGGGCAACACTGATGAATAGATGAATTACGATGGATATATTGATCAAATCTTGACGAACCAGAGATGGATTACAGGATGGGTCAACTCCGACGACCCAGAGAACAACCTCAATTGAACCACCAAACGCCCAGATCATAATTCCGAACTAGAGGATGTCGTGACTATTGTTTTAGGGTTTCAAAGACGGCTTTGATACCATGCAAGATTTCTATATATTCAATTGTCTTAGTAATACAAGAATACATTCGTTTATATAACAATCTAACCCTAGAATGAAAAAAGGAAATACGTCTTATTTCAATCCCTAATATATACAAAATATATATACCAATATACATACATAAAATCCCTAATATATTCTCGCAGAGGTATGACAAGAGATATCCGTAGGAGAAAACCTAGTTATAGAGGGTGATTTCAATGCCCATGTACGAATAGATAAACTAAGTTATGAGAGGATGCATGGTGGGTATGGTTTTTGGTAATAAAAATGAGGCTGGTAAGAGTATTTTAGATTTTGAGTTGGCTTCTGACTTGGTGATGGCCAATACTATGTATAAAAAGAGAGAGGAGCATTTGATAACCTTTAAGAGTGGGTCAATTAGGACCCAAATAGACTACTTTCTAGTAAGAAAAGTGGACCGTCTAAAATGCAACGACTGTAAGGTGATTCCTAGAGAGAGTCTGACGTCTCAACATAGAATTTTAGTATTAGATTTATGCTTTAAAGGGCAATACCAAGCTAGGAAGGATAGTGGACATCGTAGGACGAGACAGTGGAACCTAAAAGGCGATAATCTAGAAATATTTAAGAATAGAATGGATAAAGAAGGTACTTGGAACTTGAAAGATGATACTAACACTATGTGGAACTCGATGGCCAATTGTACGAGGAGAATCTCAAGGGACGTTCTTGGAGAGTCGAAAGAAAAGGGACCCAACTCTAGGGAAACTTGGTGGTGGAGAGAGGAGGTTCAAGCAGTAGTAAAGACGAAAAAAGAGTGCTTTAAAAAGCGACAAAATGATAAAACTAAGAAAAACCTTAAGAGCTACAAATTGGCTAATAAGAGGTTAAAAAAGTAGTGAGGGAGACTAAGTTGAAAGCCTATGATGACTTATACACTAAACTAGATAGTAAGGAGGAAGAGAATAAAATATACAAACTTACTAAGATAAGAGAGAGGAGAATAAGAGATTTTAATCATGTTAAGTGCATTAAGAGCAAAGTTTTTAAAGGCGAATGAGTATCTCGAGGCGTTTTATCCCTCATGAGGTGAGGCGTAAGCCTCAGGGCATTGAGGCGTAAGCATTCCAAATTTCAAATATTAATATTTAGTGAATAAATTAAATATTTTAAAATAGTAAAAAAAATAAAAACAAAATTAAATATAAAGGTGTAAATACTTTTTGCCTTAAGGCGTTGAACATTTTACTGCATAAAAGGAAATTTTTTTTTACTAAAAGTGAAATTGATATTCTTAACTTTAGTGATTGAGTTTTTAAAATATTAAAAAAATAAAAACAAAATTAAATATAAAAGTGTAAATACTTTTTCCCTTAAGGCATTGAACATTTTGCTGCATAGAAGGAAATTTTCCTTCACTAAAAGTGAAATTGATATTCTTAACTTTAGTGATTGAGCTTCTCACTAGATCATTAACTGTGTTTTTTCCTTATTGATCCTTTACTTAATTTTCCCTGTAGAATATAGTTGTAAAAAGTTGCAAAAAGCAATTCTTTTTATTTTTTTTAAGTTTAAACAATCTAATAGACTAAGTTCAACAAAAGCCCAAGGCAACCTCTGCATGTGCGTACTCCTCACATGCTTATGCACAAAAAGTGTACAAAGCACACTTAAGACGCATGTCTCAAACTATGATGTGCAAGCCTTTAGAGAGTAATGCCTAAAAATCAAAGCCTTAATGCGTTTTACCTTAGCCTCAAGGCAAGGCGAGCCTCAGGAAAGCCTTTTAAACCTCTGATCAAGAGTGAGGACTCCAAGGTGTTGATGAAGGATGAAAAGATTAAGGAGATGTGGAAAAACTATTTTAAAAAGTTGTTAAATGAAGAACATGGAGGTAGGTCAAAAGGGAAGGAAGTAGGGAGTAATAAGGAAAACCAAGACTATAGGTTCTACCTATATGTTCTAACTATAGGTTCTATCGTACGATTAAGAACTTTGAAGTGAAAATTGCACTTAAGAAGATGAAATCGAATAAGGCTTTAGGATCGATAATATCCCTATTGAAGCTTAAAAATGTTTGGATAAAAAAGGGGTTGCTTGGTTGACTAGGTTATTTAGTAAGATTTTGTTGACTAGGAAAATGCAAGAGGCGTGGAGGAAGAGTATTTTAGTGCCAATCTATAAAAATAAAGGAGATGTCCAAAACTACAACAACTATAGAGGAATCAAGCCAATGTGTCATATAATGAAAGTGTGGGAGAGAGTGATGAAACGTCGATTACAAGATATAACAAAGGTGTCAGAGAATCAATTTGGCCTTATACCTGATAGATTAACAATGGAAGTGATCTATCTTTTGAGGAGAGTAATAGAAAAGTATAGAGAAAAAAAAAGACATTCATATGGTTTTTATCAATCTTAAGAAAGCATATGATCGAGTGCCTCGAGATATAATTTGGTGCGTGTTAAAGAAGAAAGGGGTGACAAAAGGCTACATTGATGTGATTAGGGATATGTATGAAAGTGTGGTGACCACTATTAAGTCGCCTGCTGGAGAGACAAGTGAATTTCCAATTACTATAGGGTTACACCAAGGATCAACCTTAAATCCATATATTTTTGCTTTAGTTATGGACGAGTTGACGAGAAATATTCATGATGATGTGTTATGGTATATGTTTTTTGCAAATGATATCCTGTTAGTGGATGAGACTAAAGAGGGAATTAATACTAAGTTGGAGACTTGGAAAGAATCACTTGAATCTAAAGGATTTAGAATAAGCAGAATTAAAACAGAATAGTAATTTCAGTTTTCTTACACATTTGAATCCAGCCCAACCATTAATGTGCGATTCAGCCCAAACTTTCTGCACAAAAATTTTAAAATTTGGGTGAAGGGTCCAGGCATTTAGAAACCTAAAAGGCTTTGGGCCCCAATCTCTCTCATCTTCCATCAGTAAAATGGGACTGTGATCCGATAGCCTTCTTGGTAAACCCCATAATTTCAAATTAAATTTTTGCAACCAATCTGGGCTGAGGAAAAACCTGTCCAGCCTACTCCATTTGGCACCTTCCTGTGAGTTACACCAGGTGAACTTTCTCCCCAACATTGGTAGGTCACACACTTCCATACTATCTATGAACTCATTAAAGTCCTTCATACCACCACTCCTATGAGAACAGCCCGCCCTCTCAGAAGCATATCTAACCTCATTGAAATCACCCCCCAAGCACCAAGGAGCAACAAAACTTTTCTTTAAATTTTTCAGAGTTTCCCATAGTCTTTTCCTGCTAGCACCATCAGTTGGGCCATAAACATTAACAATAACACAGGCTAGATTAGAGAAAAGAGTACCTGACAAAATTATAAAGTTTCTGTTGCTGCAGCAATCCAGGAGTTGAAAGACTTGTGGATTCCAAACACACAGTAAACCACCAGCTGCTCCCTCTGAGTCCACAGCCATATATGCCATCTGATCACCAGGCCAACAAGATCTGACAAACTCCTCAATGATACCAGGTCTCTTTGTTTCTTGAAATAATGCCATATCTACCTTCCTGTCAAGTAGTAATTTTTTAATTTTTCTCCTTTTAATGGACTTGCCTAGCCCTCTAATGTTCCAAGATAAAATCTGCATTAAAACATAAGACATTTTTCCTATAAATTAAAACCATTATAAATTAACATTAACATTAGAAGGGGAAAAAAAAAAATTACACACTGTATATATATAAAAACCTACAATTTTTTTTTTTTAAAAAAAAATACAATTTTAGAGATACATATACATATACATATATATATAAACATATATACAGAGAGAGACTGAAAAACAGAGAGAGAGCGAGAGCGAGAGAGAAAGAGAAACAGAGAGAGAGAGAGAGAAGGAGAGAGTGAGAGAAAGAGAAAGAGAAACAGAGAGAGAGCGAGCGAGAGAGAGAGGCAGAGAAAGAGAAAGAGAAACAGAGAGAGAGAGAGAGAGGGGCTTACCTTCGAAGTCTTCGATCGACCGGATGGAGGTGGATCAACGATGTTCAAGTCGACTGGATGGAGGTAGATCGACTGGTTCAATGGATAGAGGTCTTTGATCGACTGGATCGACTGTCTCACTGCCGACTAGTTCAATGGGGGTCTTCGATAGATTGGATCAACTGTCTCATTGCCGACTGGTTCAATGGATAGGGTACACAATTTATACATCGTTATTTATTTATTTATTTTTAAATATTACACTTTGACTTCAAATAAATATAACAAAATTAAAATGAGCGCCGTTGTGTCGCATGTCGTGTCTCGATATGGACACGCGTGTCCCCGCCGTGTCCCCTACAAACAAATCATTAAATTAAAGGGACACAGCATCTAGCGTGTCCCCATGTCGGACACCACCATGACACTGATTTTGGAGTGTCCATGCTTCATAAGCGTCTGGGGTACTGTGCAATAAATGAGTACCCACTAGACTAAAAGGGAAGTTTCTATAGAACAGATATTAGACCAGCGATGTTGTATAGGTCGGAATGTTGAGCAACTAAGAAACAATATGTAGATAAGATTAATGTTGCTGAGATGAGGATGCTAAGATGGATGTGTGGCAAGATTAAAAAAGATAGAGTTAGAAATGAGTATTTTCAAGAATGGGTAAGAGTAGCACTGATAGAAGATAAGTTGAGAGATAATAAATTGAGATGGTTTGGTCATATACAACAGAGACCAACAGAGGCAGTAGTGAAGAGATGTGATACAATGACGGTAGATGGAAGTGTTAAGGGAAGAGGCAGACCTAGATTGACGTGAACTAGTGTAGTAAATAGAGATATGGACCTTCTTAATTTGACTAACGAAATAGCCTTGGATAGAGTCGAGAGGAGAGGAAAGATTCATGTAGCCAACTACATTACACGGATTCGGGTACGGATATCGGGTGCAGGTGCGTATCCAGGGGTCGGATGCTTCAAAATTAAAAATTGAGGATATGTGGATATGGATCCAAAATTGGATATAGGTACGGAGATACATTAAATAGTTATTTTTTAAATATATTTATTATATGAAGATGAGTTAAAGAAAAACTAAGGAATAACAGATTTTGTTAAAAAATAAATAATAAAAAAAAATTATAAAAATTATTTTAGGCATAAAATAAATTATATTATATAGGATAAAAACAAATTATTTTTATTTTAGGCATAAAAATTATATTATTTATGATATACTATATTATATAATATAATATTTTTTTGGGTGAATAATATTATATAATATAAATTATATTAAAAGGAAAAGAGATAAAAGAGAGAAGAGAAGACAAAGATAGAAGAAGAGAGAGAAAAGAACGCAGAAGAAGAGAGAGAGAGAGACCAAAGGGAAATCGAAGCCCTAGGGTCGTTTTCTGGGTGAAATCGACTTCACTTCAATTCAGTCAAGTTCGCAACTAGGGTTCACATTTCGATCTTGCTTTGCGACTCAACTTGCTTTGCAAAGGTGAGTTTCAGCCCTCCCTCCCTCTCTTTCTCTCTCTCTCTCTCTCTCTCTCTCTCTCTCTCCATCTCTGAGTTTCAGCCGTTTCCGTTTGCATCTAGCCGTATCCCACACCCGTACCCGTGTCGTGTCGACACGAGTACCTCTCAAAAACCAGAGAGTCCGTGTAACGTAGGTTAACGTTATCAAAATAGAATACCCGTTGTCGTATAATATAAATAGTTATGTAAAAAAATAATTATGGCATATTTATATTTTTAAAAAGGGCTACTTAAGCACCCTTTAGGCAAGCTTTGAGCGACCCTCTTTGGACCTGCTGTTTGTGGAAACCTGCAGCACGCGCTCGAGCAGCCTTCAAGCGTATCGAGCAACCTTCTCTAAACTTCTACAGAGCCCTGCAAAGGGCTATATGCTCAAACGGGTTTCAAGCAAAGCTTTTCTGCCCCGGGCTATAGATTATTTATGGGATAGGGTGAGATACTTGGCGTCTTTTTGGGCCTCAGCGAGCTCAGTATTCCGAGGGATTCCGCTTTTTTTGATTGCTACCGATTGGGTGTCAGTTTGTACTGTGTAGTATTAGTTGTTTATCTTTTTGTATTTTCTTTTGTCTCTTTTTGGTTCTATTTTTCCATCTTTCTTGTAGAGGATGCCTTATCCTCATTTTTCTTGGCCCCGAGCCTTAATATATCTTTCTTTCTTTCTTTGTTGATGATCAAAAAAAAAAATTTCTTGGGAGTGGTTTATACTTTACCATATTTGTTGATACTATATCCTGCACCTTGCTTTAGGGAGAATATGCAGTCCATTGTTTGTTGCTGTTTTTCCACTGAGTCCTATTTTCTTCAATATTTCGTTCTTCTTTTGTATGTTCAAACTTTTTCTTTTCTTCTCTTCTTGGGGCAGTAAAATTAGTGGAAGGACGACGATAATTGTGAGACAATCAGCTGGAGCTCAGTAGCATAAATAAAACCCAACACTTGAAGTAAAGAAAAATATCAAAATGCGCATTAATGACAGAAGGGAGTAGAATAGGATGTAGGTTTAAGGGTCATAATATCAATACTCACTTCAAGCTGTCTGCTTTGTTAAAGTGTAGATAGAGGCCGTCATGAAGATGGTTAGCTAATTTTGTCAAATTTTTAATAATTATTTGTGTGTAATTTGCATTCTTTTTTTCTTAGGTTTGCTATTGGCTACATATGACCCAGTAAAAAAAAATGGTGCTTTAGTCTAAATCTTTTGAGGTACTACTCTCTAAAGTACATTTCCTCAGTTAAAAAAATAAGTACATTTCCTCTAGAACAAGGTTATGAGATGGCCCTTTGGATTCCACAAAAATGAGAGAACCATTGTGAGCCATCACTTGATAGAGAAATCTCAGCACAAATGCTGTCAGCATTGTAGCATAGACACAAATACAGGGCATGAGCAAATCTTAAAAAAAACATGACATGTCATGTCAAGTTTTAATATATTTATGCATCTTGCGTAAGAAAAATATTTAATCCAATTTACTATCTATATATTTTTATTGCAAGTTGTTGAGATAGAGCTCTATAAATATCATCTATATAAGGCATAATCCTATTGCATGCTTTCTTTTTAATATTTTTTTTGTTTCTAAAATCTTTTTCCTATGTTAAAGTTGGTCATGTCATGCACATGATTGAATTCATTTTAGAAATGTTTCAAAACATATTTGGGGTGTGTAAGTTGTGTTCCTAAGAATGCCAAAGATTGTTACTATTAGAAGTTCCACCACATAGGCCCATAAGGACACTTTGAAGAAGTATTGGTGTCTGACACATGTTAGACACAGACACTGCTCCTTCTAGAAGTGTCCATGCTACTTAGGCCCGTAAGGCTCCATATGGGATGTGTACTCCTCTAGAATGTTGCTCGTGGAGAATGGTTTATGTATGCAGTGGTTTGATAGATGTTTCTAATTCAAAATCATCAAGAGCATCGAGAGCCCTAATTGGCTAACTCATCTTAACAAGTTGACTTTTATCGTCATAGCATACAGCTAATAAGATACTTAATGAAAGCATTGGCCTCAATTTTATGGGGAACCTGTTTAGCTATTTGGAATTTTCATGCTCATTCACAGTTCTTATGGTCTTAAATAATTTCAAAATATAGTTTCTTGTGTCATCTAGGCACAATCAGATTTTGATAACCTTGATCTACAATATCTGTGAAAAGTTCTTTCACAAATTGGCGGTCAGTGTATTATTCATTTTCATCGGTAGGCAATTCTTTAGAAATTAATTGGTGAAAAGTTCTTTCAATGTTGTGTTGTGTGCAGTTATTAATTAGATTTTTCTTTTAGAAACTTACAAAGTCAATTAGGAATCAGATCTTTCATGGCTAATATTCTCAAGTAGATTGAACATCAAATTGGTCAATATTCTTGAATGTGAGATCGTAAAGCAGGTTATATGTATTCGGCAATATGCCACTTTCTAACGAGATAATTCTCTAAGGAGATTCAGGGAAAATCATCTGTATGCATATATATATATATATAT